AAGGCAAAATACGTATTACATAAGCAACGGGATTCTGTGATTTGATCTCTTATAGATAACTGGTCTTCATAGTTGGTGATCCGTGAGGCTTACCACATGTACACCACTTCAAAAATTTTGAGACAACGTGAACCAAATTACCTAACGTTCATCAGGGGAGAGAAGCTATCCGCTGCTCATTGTTATCAAAAAGCAAGAGAGGGATCAAACCTAACTGGTTTTTCCAGGACAGCCTGTGGGGTGGAAATGGGATCATTCCAGCTGGGGAAAAGTGGTTCATGTTGATCAAACTCTTGAGAACTTGCTGTGCGAATGAATATGAAGTTGTACCTCTTATTTATTACCAAGACATCTTGGGGTCTGGTGGTCAAGGATGTTTTGTGGGAATGAGCTCAAGGCAATGAGCAATCGTCTCAAAGTTTTCTTTGAATTGACTGGGAGGTGTATCACTGTACCATGATGATGGCAGTATAAAATTTGGGGCATTTTGCCTTTGTCAGTTCCATTTCCTGTTTCATTTCTTTCACAGTTCACAGTTCTGGATAAACACAGAGAGACTTAGTAGACAATATTTGGACCACCCATCCTTGGCAACAGCGGTGTTACTTGGCCAGGACACAGTTAGCTCATAGCATGAGTCACGTCACTTTTCTGGTTTGTAGCTTTCTCCTCTATGAAAAAATAAAAAGAGCTAGCCACTTCCCAAAGAAGTGTACTCTCACTCTAACACTGTAGGATTTTGTGACATTTCTTACTACCTTGGGGGTTTAGGGATAAAGAACATCCACCATGCTCAGTTCAGATTCCAAGGGTGTGCCCAAGGCAATCAGAGACTGATCAGGAACCAGGGTCCAAGAGTTAATCCACCCCTTCTCACTGCAATTTAAGGACACAGTGGCCGGGAGATGTCCTTGGCAGCAGTTGCTTTGACAGTTTCCTAGGAGTGATGACAGTATTTTCGCAGCAGAGCCAAGACACTCCTTGATTCTGGATCATCAATCAGCCCTCTGAATTTCAAGGGCTCTTCAGGTTCTTCCTTCACTGTTGTTACACTTTGACTGGAATTTTCCATAAATGAATTATACAAAGGATGGAAAGAAGCCAAGACATTCTACACCTGGACCCCTAGTGGTATCTCCATGAAGAAGACCATGAATGTCCAATTTGACTTAGTATGCAATATATTCTTATCATTCTTCATTTCTTCAATAGATCCCAATTTAACTCCTAACCATTTGCCCCTGGTGGTGCAAATCCTTTCACTGCTGAGACACGTCAGAAGCAACTGTTAAGAGCCCTGGCTGGTGGCCCCTGTGCCTGGACCAGGTCACTGTCGGCTACATAAGCCCTGAGGTTTTGCACACAGCATGTCTGTTCCTTTCTCCCCTCCCAGCACTTTTGAGACCTGTCTGTTGTGCAGTGGTCTGCCAGGTCCGGGAGCTTCCCTAGTTCCCAGAGTGATACATTGCTCATTCCCTCTTTTGGAAGGCTTGGATCTAAACCAGGTAAAGCTTCTTTCAGGGCTTAAGGAGTGCCAGACACTCTGTTTTTGGGTCATGTTCTGGTCAAGAGGTAAGTGACCAGCCCCCTGCTTCAGAGATCATCACTTTAGGGTGACAGCAGATCATTTGTCATCAGTTATCAGCTGAAATGAAAACCTACTGAAAATGAGAGGCCAAGATGAACAGGGCAACAAAATAAGGCACAAAGGAGGATGGGCTCAGCAGGGTTAGCATGAAACTGGGAGGGAAGGGGTAATGGTTTCCCCTGACAGCCCCTGCCAAAAACTCTCCCTCTACCTGTCCGTTCTCTTAAGTGAGATACTATCAAAGATAATTGGGGGGAAGGAGTGTTTTCCATCTCCAATTTACCCAATTATGTACCCGGTCACAAGGTCCAAACTACCATCCCACAGGCAGTCCAATGCTGTTGTTCTCATGGTCCTGGCATCTCACAAATCTATCCCTCTCCCGCCCCTGCCCCTAGCCCTCTTGTTCAGAGCAGCAGAGCAGTTGCCTGATTTGCCTCATTTCTGCCTCCTGGGTGCTCTTGGCAGTGTGATCTCTCTCCAGCAGAGAATGAACACTAGCAGTGCAGGGTGGAGCCCTACTGCCTCCAGGTGAAAGTCCAGCCGGAGATTTGCTGACTTTAGGCCACCACTCGACCTGGCTCTTGTCCATTGGTCTCACTTCATCTTTAATGATCTTTCCTTTATGATCTTTCTCATTCTCCAGGAGCCCTCGATCCTCCAGGGTGTTCCTCACTTCCCTCACATTTGCACAGAACATTTGGAACTCTCCCCTCCCCTCCCCTCCCCTCCCCTCCTCTCCCCTCCCCTCCCCTCCCTTTCCCTTCCCTTCCCTTCTCTTCTTGACATTATTTTTTTAGAAGAAAAAAAAAAAAGAGAATGAAACTGGGTTACAAAACAGATTAGTAGGACAGTTATGATAGTTGGTACATTGCACATTGCCATCTTCATCATAGTTATTCAGAGTATGGAATATAGACATGATATCTTGTAAATAATATTTTAACACAATACATTCTTTTCAAGGAACAGAGAGAAGTTAGCTGTGGAGCTATCTTAACTATCTTGTGTGTGTGTGTATATATATATATTTTCTTTTTCCCTTTCCTTTCTCTTACCACAGTTTGTCTTCAATGCAATTCAAAATTTCTGCTGTACATTTTGGATCCTACTTGTTTAGTTTCTCACACTAGTGAGACAATATGACTTTTACACATATGAATCTGTTTTATTTCCCTTATGTGTATGGTCTCAAGTTGCAGTTTATCCTTATTTATGGCTGAGTAGTACTTTATTATATAAAAACACACATTTTAAAATTCTATTTCTTGGTTGATGGGCACTTGGATTATTTCCAAGATTTACTTATTACAAATTGTGCTGCTATAAATATGGGTGTACATATGTCACCGTGGTATGATGTTTTTTAATTCTTCTGGGAAAATACTCAGAAGGGAAATAGCTCAGTCAAATGGGATCTGTAATCCTAATCTTTTTGAGGAATATCCATACTGATTTCTACAGTGGTTGTATCAGTTTGCACTCCTACCAACAGTGGAGAAGTGTTCCTTTTCCCCCACACCTCCTCCAGCATTTGTTATTGGTTGATTTCTTGATGATAGCCATTCTTTCTGGAATGAGATGGAGTCTGTGTTTTAATTTGCATCTCTCAGGATGACCAGTGATGTTGTACATTTTTCTCATATATTCAGTTGCCATTTGTATTTCTTCATCTGAGAAGTGTGTATTCATCTCAGATGCCTCTTTTTGGGTTGGGTCTTTGAATTTGGGGGCTTGATTTATTCAATTCTTTATGTGTTTTAGATATAAGTCCTTTGATTGAGAGACAGTTGGCTAAAATTTTTTCCCACTCTGTGGGTTTTCTTTTCACTCTGTTGATGATTTCTTTTGATGTGCAAAAGCTTCTTAAAAAGATGAGATCCCAGTTGTTGATTCCTTGAAATACTTTTGTGCTATTTGCATTTGTTTGGTGTTATTATCTTTGTGAAGCTCTCCCCAGTGTCTCAGAAGAACTTTGGTTTCTTTCCTTAAGGTGACCAGCTTATCTGGTTGATGGCTGCATTACAATGGCTGTCCAAATTGTATTTTGTTCATTTATAACTCATGGAGAAACCCAATTTGCAGTCACATTTCCATCTTCATGTTCCCAGAACATGCACATCACTTGTGGAATGCCCAATAAATATTTTTTATCAAATTATTTTATTTATAGAACAAAAGGACAGTAAAGAGTTAGAAACGTTGGGTGTACATGGATAAGAGAGCATACCAAGGGACTGCAATCTGAGAGAGAAAATTATTAAAGCAGTGTTTGGATATTTTAGATAAATATTGACTTGGAAATGCCAGGAATAATGGGGACATGGGGACTTGTTGGTTATGCCATTCCTAGAGTTTTGGTTGGGATTTGAGAGGTCAGAAATATAACAGTGCACTTTGCTTGAACAAAGCCGTGATTTTATGATTGGCAAGTGAGGGGGAAGAGCCCGGGTGAGTGGGAGGAGAACCAACAATGGCTATTTTTCACCCGTATTTCTGGTCCAAGCCAGTTGAATTTATCAGTAAGAAAAGCTCTGGGGCCAGTCACCATTAATCATCTATGGTGGAGCAGTAGTTACCCCCAGGGAAAAGGAACAGAGGAGGGCATTTTAACTCAAGCTAGCATTTGAATTTTATCTTAGAAATAATTTCCTTCAATATTTAAAAATACTGAACAAGTTCTTGGTGTGTGTTAGGCAGGAGGGTGAGAGGCATTTGAAAATTGCTAAAATTTTCTCTTACCAAGTTCATAGTCAAGTGAAGGAATAGAAATAGGGAAAATCCTAAGAGAATCCAGCAAGTGTGGGAGCAGGGAAGAGCAACTGTTTTAAAGTTTCTATCACGTGCATCAGTGGAAGCCCTCAAAATAACAATGACACACAAGCAATTGACGTGGGTTTCTCTTGTACATGAGAATGTCCAGAAGTGGGCACTTCAGGCTGGTATGGCAGTTGATGGACCCGAGGATGCCAGGCTTTTATCTATCACCTTTAGCAGGTGGTTTCCTCATTGCTCTGTCGTAAGTGGCTAAAGAAGCTTTAGCTAAGACATCTACATCCAGGCAACAGAAGGAGAGAGATGCTTCTATGATCAAAGGCAGCTCTTCAGGAAGTGTTACTTAGGGAAGTCCTGCACAGCCTTCTTGTGCACATCTTTGTGGTCAGAACTTAGATTCTTGGCCATATCTAATTGCAAAAGTTGTTCTATTTCCAGCTGGGGGTGGTGGCACACATCTGTAATCATAGCACTTGGGAAGCTGAGGCAGGATGAGTAACTGTGAGCTCCCAGCCAGCCTGCGTTACATGAGCAAGTTCAAGGCCAGCCTATACTACATGTGAGATGCTGCCTCAAACAAACAAACAAACAAAAGTTGTTCTGTTTCTGGCGAGGGAAGGTTAGTATAGCCAACTAGTACCTTTTTTAAAAAAAATTTTTATTTTGAAAATAGTAAAATACAACAGAACAAGACAGAACAAAGCCAACTAAGATCATACAGTGAAATTGATACAGAACTTCACAGCAGGTTACTGGGATAACAGTAATAGGTATCACAGAATAATTTGTTATCTTTACAATAGTTGTTCTTTTAATCACATATATCAAAATAAAATGAAATACAGAACATTATAGAACTTATCAAAACAGAATATTGAATAGAGCAGTACCATTAATCAGAATAGAGCAAAACAGTAATAAAAATATTTGCCTTCCAAGAGATGGTAGAAGGAAATCCCCCTTATTTGCTATGGTCAACCTCCCAGGAGATGCTCAGATTTCTGGTTCCCATTTGCTAATGGGGGACAGGAGAAGGAGGGTAGGGGAAGTGGGATGTTAGGCTCTAGGCCATGCACCAGTAGGTTCACTACTGCTTAGCAGGGAGGCAGGCTGGTTGCTTGGTTTCCCAGTGTCCTAAGTTCCAATATGGTGCAGATCTCAGGAGACACTGATGATTCTCCCCTGGGAAGGGCCACAGCCTGCCACACCACAGCCAGTTACCAGGGAGGGGAGCTGCTTGCTTGGCTTCCTAGTGTCCTAAGTTCCAACATGGCGTAGATCTCAGGAGCTGCTGGTGGTTCTCCCCCTGGAAGGGCCACAGCCTGCCACTCACAGCCGCTTACCAGGGAAGGGAGGTGCTTGCTTAGCTTCCCAGGGTCCTAAGTTCCAACATCTCCCCAATTAGTACTTTTTGCATCCTCTCTCACGTGAGAACTCTGGAGAATCCCTTTGGAAGACATACTTAATATCTCTCAAGATACTATACACCTTGCCCCAAAAGGAAGGAGGTCCTGAGCTGTAGAGGGTCAGGCTTGCCTTTTGGCAGAGGTGGGCTGTGGCAGGGCAAAGAGATATCTGTTAGGGATTTGCAAACTGGATTCCTATTTGAATTCTGATGTAGAATCTGCCTCTGAAAGAGATAGAAACACCAAGAACATTTCAGATCCTCCCCACTCCTGAGGCAGAATTTTCTGATAGACTGAACGGGTGAAGGTGGTTTCACTGAGCCCTCATAGATTTTATTCCTCAGAGATAGGATGATTTCTCCAGAGCAGACAAGACCAGGATTACCCAGATGCAAAGGCAGAGGACTAGGAACTCAGAGAGCCCGCATTGTGCAGATTTCATCTGGGATCCCGTCCCTTGGCCAAATTTGACCCAGTGACTCCCTAGAACTTTTACCAATTGGATGATCAACTTTCTTCCCTTGAGAATCATTTCATTTTAGGTTGACCGTTTTTAACCATTCTGTGATCTCTGGGCTGAGCCTAAAGGATGTGGAACTGGAGAGAAAAATATTCTCCCCTGGTTCCTGAGGTGCAGCGGAAAGAGCACAGTCAGGATGCTTCAGACACCGGGCCAAGTTCTTACACAGATCCTCAGTGATCCTGATCCTCTGCACTTCATCCTGATGACTAATGACAGGAGCTTTTGTCCTCTCTCACTGTTTGTTGGGATGACTTTATTATTATTTCTTGTTCTTTCTATTCATGTTTCCAAGAGAGTCTGATGGGAAGATAAAGAAACATGAAAAATCACGCAATGACTTCAACGAGTGAAAAATCTGTGAATCGTCATGCAATGACTATTTAACACGTAAAAACTGTGAAGAGCAGTAGGAGGTTATAGGAAAAATAAAGTTATTGTGGGGTAGGAAATTCAAGGCAAGATATGTTGTTGATGCTGGTTTTTAATAGCTTAATGGAGGTATAAATAACATACGATAAATAATTCAGTCATTTTTTACATATACACATGCATGTACTTATCAAATAATCGCAATAAGATAATGAACACATCTTTTGTACTCCCAAACTTTCTCGTCCCATTTTCTTTTTCTTTACTTTCTTTCTTTCATTTTTCTTTCTTTCTTTTTTTTTGTACTGAGAATTGAACTCACGACCTCACACCTGCCAGGCAGGTGTTTGTCACCTGTTTTATGATTTCTATTTCCCACTTTTTCACACCCCAACCTTGTCTCCAAAGAGGTACAGATCTGCTTTTTGTCACTATGTATTTGTTTGCTTTATTTAGAATTTTATACCAAAGGAATCATATATGGCAACAGATTCTCTCTTTTTGTCTGGAGTAATTATTCGAAAATTTACTCGGGTTGTTGAGTACAGAAATAGTTCATTCTCCTCTACTGCTGAATGGCCTTCGTTTGTATGGATATACCACAGTTCACTTATCCATTCGTTTCAAAACCAAGATTCATTGGCTTGGTTGCTTTTTGCTATTTTTGGCTGTTATAAATATTTTGTTGCAAGATTTTATGTTTTTATTGCTCTGGAATCAATGCCTAGACATACAATTGCTAAGTCATATAATAACTTATTAAATGTTTTTAAATTAAATCTTTAATTTTTAGAAAACTGCTGATTCATATAGCTGTAACAAATAATTTCTTAGTTTCCTCTGAGATTGATATTTTGAAAAATACAAACACTATTACCATCAGGATATTAATGTCAATATAAAACACTGAGAAGTATAAATCTCCCCAGATGTATTTGTGGTCATTTGTGTCTGTCCAGGGCTATGCAGTTTTACCAGATCATGTGTCTGTGTATCTATCACCTCTGTCAAGGTACGCAATAGTTCCATTATGATAAAAATCTTTAATGTTGCCCATATATATCTGTACTTACCTCCCTTCTCTACATTTAACCTGACCTGAGCTCCAAGAAACCATTAATCTCTTCTTTTGTTACTTCAAGACTATCATATAATTGTGATCTAACATTATCTAATCTTTTGGAATTGACTTTTTTTAACTTAATATAGTTCCCAGAAAGTCTTTGAAGGTGGGTGTTGCTGAATAGTAATCCATAGTATGAATTCACCTTAATTTGTTCCAAAACTAACCTGTTGAAGGTTTTTCATTTTGTTATTAGTTTTTCATTTTGGCTATTATGAATTAAGCTGCTATGAATGTTTGTATACAGATTTTTGTGTAAATATGTTTTCATTTCTTTAGCATAGAGTTCAAGGGTTCAGTCCCTGAAGACATGGTAGCTATATTTTAGTTTTAAAAGAAATTGTGTCTTACAAGGGCTACATCATTTTACGTTTATACCAGCAATGTGGGTAATCCAGTTACTCCACATTCTTACTTGCTGTTTTTCATTTGAGCCATTCTGATAAGTACGTGATGATATCTTATTGTGGTTTTAACTTGCATTTGTCCAATGGCTAGTGATTTTGAACATCTTCCCATGCGCTTATGTGCCGTGTGTCTGCCTGATTCAGTTAAGTGCTTGGTCATGCAATTTGTCCATTTTCTAGTTGGATTGTTGGCTTTCTTAATTTTGAATGTTGAGAATTTTATATATTTTAGATGCTAGTCTTTTGTCAGATGTGTAATTTGTAAATATTTTCTCCCAGTTTCTAAATTTTATCTTTCCATCATTTTAACATGTCTAACTCCAGAAACTGCCAACTGTTTCCTGAAGTGTTTGTACCATATAACATTATTACCAGCAACATTTTTTAAAACTTTTTTTTGTCTTTTTCATTTTTATCGGTACCGGGAATCGAACTCATGACTGCCTGCTTGCAAGGCAGGCACTTATGCTGCTGAGCTAAATCCCCAGCCCTTACCAGCAACATTTGAAAGTTCTAGTTGCTCTAGGTTTTTGCCAGTGCTTGATATGTAAGTCATAGATATCCTATGGATGTGAAGTAAAAGCTCATCATGGCTTTAATCTGTTTTTCTTAATGGCTAATGATGCTGAATATCTTTTCATATGTTTTTATGTTTGTATGTCTTCTTTGGTCATATGTTTCTGCAAATATTTTGCCCATTTTTAAAAATGATTATCTTCTTCTGAAGTTGTAAGTCTGCTACATGTCGAGATAGAAATTTTTTGTGGAATATAACTATGTGTTGTATTTACTTTCTCTTAATCTGTGGCTGGGCAAGATATATTTTATGAAGCATCTTTTTCTTTTTTATTATTATTAAGCTTATTGGTATCATTTAGATGTACATAGTGATCATATTTATGATAGGAACTTTGTACCTGTACATGATATGTTTTGATTCCTATTTTTTTCATTCCCTTCCCATTCTTTTGACTCTCTTCCCTCCTTATTTACAAAGCTTTGCCTCCATTTTTATCCTTCTTTTCTCATTTTCATTTTTCTACTTTCTTTTCCCTCCTCCTTCTTTTTTTTTTTTTTTTTTTTTTTTTTTTGTCTTTTTCATTTTTATTGGTACCAGGGATCGAACTCACGGCCGCCTGCTTGCAAGGCAGGTGCTTATGCCGCTGAGCTAAATCCCCAGCCCCTCCCCTCCTCCTTCTTGCTCACCCCCTTTTTTTTTTTTTACTTTTGAATGATTTCTTCCTATTTCACAATATGCGTTACACATTTTGCTTCTACAGATACAAGATATTTACATGTTTGTCCAAATTATATTCACTTAACAGAATGGTTTCAAGGTGCATCCATTACCTAGAAATGGGTAAAAAAAAAAAAGACCCACAAAAACCCCACATTTAAAAAGATCTATTCCTCAGCTGATGGGCATTTGGGTTGTTTCCAACACTTACAAACTGTGCTGCTATAAACACGGCTGTGCATATATTGCTACAGATGCTTTCAATTCTTTTGGGAAAATACCCAAAGGAAGGAGAGCTGGGCCAACAGGATCTCCAGTCTTAGCTTTTTGAAGACTCTCTGCCCTGACTTTCATGGTGGCTTCACTCTCATCAACAGTGGAGATTTCCCTTTCCCCCACATTCCCACCAGCATTTGTAATTGGTTGATTTTCTTGATAATGGCCATTCTTTCTGGGGTAACATGGAATCTTGTGTTGTTTTAATTTGTATCTCTCGAATGACCAATGGCGTTGAACATTTTCTCAAATATATATTTGTTGGTTGTACTTCTTCATCTGAGAAGTGTGCATTTATCTTAGATGCCCATTTTTAGATTGAGTCTTTAAATTTGGAGAGGGTCTAATTTCTTTTCAATTCTTTGTATGCTCTAGATTTTAAAATTCTCAAAGGATTAATCCTTTGAGAAACAACTGGTCAGAAATTTCTCCCATTCTATAGGTTGACTTTCCATTCTGTTGATGATTTCTTTTGCTGTCCAAAAGCTTTTTAATCAGATGAGGTCCAAGTTGTTGATTCTGTGTATTTCTCATACAATCAGAGTTTTGTTCATAAAATCTTTGTCTATACCTATATCTTCAAGAATTCTACCTGTTCTCTCTTCCAGAAAGTTTAATGTTTCTGTTTTAATATTTAGATCTTTGAGTCATTTCAATTTTAGTGTAGTGTATAGTAACTGACACAGATCTAGTCTTGGACTTCAGCACGTGGAAAGCCAGTTTTTCCTGTTCCATTTATTTAGAAGCTTCCTTCTTCCAGTGAACCTGTTGGGCCCCTTTTACAAAGATAAGGTGGCTGAGTGTGGTTGGAGTTGTTTCTGTGTCTTCTCATCTTTTCCAATGATCATCTGGTCTGTGCTTATTTTTCTTTTTTTCCTCTTTCTTTCTTTTCTTTTTTCTATTTCTCTTTCATTCTGTCTTTCCTTTTTTTTCTCTCTCTCTCTCTCCTTTCTTTCTTTTTGCCAGTACTATGCTTTTTTTTTAATCACAGTAGCCTCGTAGTATAATTTTATGTCAGGGATTGTGACGTCCTCTGCCTGTCTTTGTTGCCCAGAATTAGAACCCATTTTTTTTTTTATGGTAACTAGATTTCATTTTGCTTTTAATTCATTGTATGGGAGTTCAGACAAGGGAGATTAAATTGTTTAATTAGCATAGCAAATAATGGGAAACATTTCCTTCTATGTTACTCGAATGATACAGAAAGTGAGTTAGAAGAAGCCAAAGATTAATACATATCTCCTGAACATTTGGTAATTTTATTTAAAATGACCTATCATCATTTTGTCACTACTTTTTTTTGCTATTTGTGTTTAATAATTGCTGTTATTGTAATTTAAATTTAATTATGAGTGAGACTTATTAGTAGAGTTGGCTACTTATGCTTTATTTCCTCTAAAATGCTTCTTTAGCTTCATTTTTTTCATGGGATTCTTTATTTTTTAAAATTTATGTTTGTACAACCTGCTTATCCATTAGTAATTATATATGTTTCTGCATATGACTTGCAACTATTTTGTTATTTTACTTTGTTGGTGGTTTTTTCATAGAGGTTATACTTTTATGAGCAACATTGTGAAGGGTGATGGACAGAGATAAGGGTGAGAAATAGATGCTTGGGTAGGGACTGTGCCTTTCCTTCTGACCGGTCACTCATGGAATGACAGAGGGCTTCCTGGACTTGCAGAAAGCATCAAGAATTATGGGGTCTTGTTTGGAAAATTGTATGAATGTGAGCAGGTCTGTGGGTTAAGGAATCTGAGTTCTGGTCCCTTTACTATTGTTACCTGCCACCTGACTCTGGGTATTATGGTCTATAACTAGATGCTCCCCAAGGGTTTATAGCTAAATATGATATTGGGCAATGAAACTCAGATGGAGGAGTGGGCCACTGGGGTGACCTGGAATATTCTATCTCTCTCCTTCCTCCCTTGATCCCTCTCTTCTTCCCTCCACTCTGCATGAGCTCTTTTTCCCCAGCTGTGCCCTCTGTGCTTGGAGTCAGCTGACTGTAGACTGAAACTTCTACCATCTGAGCTTTTAATTTTACTTGGTGAGTGTCAGGCATGGTGTCTCAGCAATGAGAAAGTGACCAAGAGAGTGGGCAAGGTAGCCTTTTCCTCCGGCCCTCTGCTTCCAGATTTTTAAAATAAATGATTTGATGCTGATGCTTTTGGTTTCAGTGTCACTTGAAAATGGACTGTACAGACATCCCTGGGGCTTGCGTCGGATGCTGACTTTCTACGGGCAGGCAAAATTAGGAGATTCACAGCACTCAGGTTAGTCTTAGAACGCTGCAAGAATTGGCTGTATTTATTTCTGTATATATTCTTTGGTTATACTTGTTCCCCTTTAACGGTCCACTCAAAATATGTGGCTTTGGGAAGGGCACAAGAAATTGCAGAAAATCCCCCAAATGAACTTTGTAACTTGCTTGGGCGATAGAATAACCAAACACTGCTTTTGGAGCTTAGCGGACCCAGCTTTGAAGCTAGCTCTTTGCTTCCTCCACCGCATGGCCTTACGGATGCTACTAACCTCACTGGGCATCCATTTCTTCTTACCTGGGGCCCACCCTTTTCCTAGATTATTAGACAATAAATGCTTAAAAATATGTAATTCTCCATGTATTACAATAATAACCCAACATATATAAATGTACTATTCTTAATGCCTTGACTCAAACAGGTCCTTACTATGTATTTGTCAGTTAACATGTTGTAATAAATATTTGTCAATTAAAGTTATACAATGAAGGAGAGCGAAATGAGCATCCTCATTTATATTTTTGAAGACCAATATGGCAGTATCTATCACTAGCTTAAAATACACCATCTTTTAATTCAACAATTCCACTTCTAGAAACCTCTTTTCCTATGAAAATAACCAAAGAATATATACAGAAAAAAATACATGCCACATTTTTTATCTCAGTGGAAAACTGGGTTTGGCGGGATAATTGATGGTTTTGTTACAGGGGATGAAACAGATACACAGCACAGCACTGTAAGCGGGATGGCAGAGGCAGGGAGTTTGAATTACAGAACAGGCTTTGGCACCTGGGCTGAGGTCTGGCTCTGCTGCTTGTGGACTTTGGCAAGTTCACCTGCGCTCCCCAAACATTAATTTTCCCATTTGTAAAGTGGTTATAATGATGTCAGCCTGACAGATCAGGAAAATCTGACAAGCGTTAAAAAAGCTGATGAAAGCCGCCAAGGAAAAGACAGAATCATCAAATAAAATCACATAAGTGACACAGCCATGTAATCACATTTTTGTGATAGGGTTACATTATGGGTAATCACAGAAAAAAGATGCACATATGCAAATGTGTTGATATCAGCTTTCCGGAGGACAACTGTGGATGGATTGTGGCATTTAGGGTTTTGTTTGTCATTGCTTATTTGCATTTTCAATTACCAAATACTATGATCATTTGCATAATAAAAAACACTCAAATTCCATCTCTAGTATAGTTTCCAAGGTATTTGGGGAAATTGGAAAAAATCACAGTTTGGTGATTTTTCATAAGAACAGATTCCCAGACCCAATGGGATATTTTACTCAGATAAAAGTTTATCTGATTAAGAGTCAGTTCCGTCTCTGTGGATAAGCCTGCCCTGGTTTCCCAGCAGAGGACCCTGGGTACTCCAACTGCACACCTCCTTGGGCAGGGTCAGAAATTCAGCTTCACCCTTCACAGTGAGCCCTGGAAGGCTAATAATGGTAATAATAAAAACCAACATTTGTACTGAGGGCTTGCAGTCTGCTGGCACTTTCCTGAGCTCTTCCAATTACAGTAGCCGTGTTATTTGGGGCTGTTGATTCTTTTATTATGTGCATTAGGAAATGAAGGCACAAAATATTCAAGTCTCCTTGGCTACCAAATAGTATAACCAGGAACCACTGTATTCAAATATATTTCCTCCCAGCCAGAGGGTTCTGATTAGATACCATGACAGTACCCGAAGGCGTTCATGTATGTTAAGCGTGTGCTCTGCTGTTGAGTTACACTCTAAGATCATACTTTATTATTGTTTTGAAATATACACTATTGTTGACTACAGTCATCTTGCTCCTCAAAAGTTACTCCTTCAAACCATGTGAAACTTAATGACTTTTGGTCAACTCATTGTTTCTTTTCTACCTTGTCTCTGCTAATTATCATTCTATTCTTTATTCTATGCACTCATTTTTATTATACAAGAACCCTATTTTTTCTTAGAAGAATGGACACTTAAAATTCAACGTCATTATTACTAACTAGCTCGTGAAATTACAATTAATGACACTGCTTTTAAATTTTCTCATCTCCCATTTCTCCACTTGTCTCCTGTCATATATTACACACACAGTATCCAAACACTAACTTCATAAAGTAGGTTACTTGCCAGGAAAATGCAATTGTGATGTAGATGAATGATCACTGGAAGGTGATTCTGGTAGTGTCTAGTCTGCAGGATAAGTGTATTATTGAAGATTTATCTAGACACTAAACAGCCACATAGAACACAATGAATCATACTTCTCTGGGCCAAAATGGTATCGTCACAAGTTGTATAAACATCAGCCTCATTTCTGTTTTTCACTCTTCTAGTGGTGGAACATTAAGCTTCATACAGAAGCGACTGAAATGTCAAAAGTCCGGGGAAGTAAATGATTACAGAAGTGCAAGTATAGTTATCTCAGAGACTTTTGCAAACAGGAATGCAAACTTATTATCTTACTGAACACTACATTGCTTTATGTAATTTTTCCTTGTCAGATGAAAAATGTTGGAGTTGCCTCTTCCTTTTCTAGGGTGTGAAACTAGAATTGGATCCTTTAGATTTGGAATCATGCTTTCTCTACCTCCCTTAAGGGAAGTCATCAGGGAAAGGAGGTGAGCAAACCGTGTTAATGCTTATCAAATACTTACTACATGTCCAGTACTCTCCTGAGTACTTTACGAATTTTAATTCTTTAATTCTTACACCAACTCTATGCACTAATTGCCAGGAACCTGGCCAAGGTCCCCAACTACCTGTATGAGGGATGCGTCAAGGATGACACAAGAGAGAGACAATTTAGTAATGCACACAAGGAGGGCTGGAAGTCAGTGCTGCAGGATGGACAATGACCGTCCAGCTTGCTGCTATTTTTATTAGCCAGTGCACAGGGTGGGTAGTGAGTGATTCCAGGAGCAGTCACAGTGATTATGGCGGGTGGGCTACTAAAAGAACAAAACTATCTTTCAAAGATGAGACCCAGATCAATAAGGAAACTGTGTTTTCCCCAAGTGAAATTTTTATTACTGCTCCTGCATTGCTTTAAAGATCCTTGTTATCCTCAGCAGGGCTTATGTTGCCCTGTGAGAGCTACAGTGTCACTAGCCATAGGGCTTCAGCTGTGGTGGGAGAAAGTAGAAAGCTTCTGTGTTGCAGCCCAGCTCACCGAGCAGGAAAAGGACAGCCTCAGATGACCTCTAGACTCAAGCTGTAATCTGTGGTCACCAACAACTAGTCACTCTTATGGGTCCCATTTTGCAGATGATAATATCAGCATATAATGGAGAATTTTCCCATTTTGCATATGGCAGAGCAGCATTTGAATATAGATAGCTTAATTCTAAAAGTTTCTTGTATGTTGTTCTGCCTTCTTATACACATTAGCTTTACAGTTGCAGTTGATCTTGTTTATTTGTGGATTCTTTAGTTGTAAGTTTATCAAGTCATTAATAGGTGTGAAGCCTCCAATTAATTCCCTGTTGGTGTTTCAGAATGGCCAAAACCCCATTGATATTAGAATGAAGTGATTATCTACTTTCATACTTTGGCTCCCAAGCTGTAAATCACTTTTGAACTATAATAACTAGCATGTATTTTACCTTTCTGGTTGATGATTTTGTACTTTAGAGTGAGCCTCTAAGTGTAGAGCTGAAATGCTGGATCTTTAAGAGGGCTGTGATGTACCCTGCAGAGAAAACACTTGTGTTATCTGTGCTTTGTACAGGCTTGAGTTAAAGTGCTAGTTTAAATATAATGTTAATGAATTAACAACATATACTTACTCTTTGGCATCTGCAGAAGATTGGTCCAGGACTCTGTCCAGATACCAAAATCCAGGAACACCTAACTTTTATTTTTCATTTAATTATACATCATTGGTGCATCAAGTCCTTTTTATAAAATAATGTCACACTTTCATATAACCTGAACATATCTTCCCACAGATTTTAAATCATCTCTAGATTACTTACACCTAATACAACATAGAGGAAATGTACAATCTGAGGCTGTCCTTTTCCAGCCCTGTAAGCTGGTCTACAACACAGAAACTTTCCACTTTCAGTCATATTTATGTGACCAAAGTAGCTGTCAAAATAACTAAACTTCAGTGTATTTAAGTGTTTTCATTATAGAGGCTGGGAATGAATCCCAGAGGAAAAGCACTTTCCAGGCATGCCAGGAGCCCTGGGTGGAATCCCTATGGTCACAGAAAGTTTAAATACAAGGAAAATTGCAAAATAGAATGGAAGAATGGAGAATCATATAAGGATGTTCTAAGCACCTAGGACATGGTAGCCAGTGAGGGGTATCTATGATGACAGCGACAACATTCTGAATTACTTCAGATGGGTTGGAGCAGACCAGAATGGGCAGGCGTTAAACTCACACCCTGCTCCCAATCTTCCACTTGTAACATGTTCAAACTTCCACAAAAGTTAAACTATATATCAAAGTCCAGCAGACATAAATCATTAGAAGTGAAACTAGGGAAAATACTTTGTAGTAGGCCAAAAAGAGAACTCACTGCCTAAGAAGGACCCAAGTATGTCTAGCTATACTTTATTATATTAGTTTGCAAAGGTTTGCTCCTACTTTTTGAGGTCTGATGTGTTACAGTTTTTTCCATTCAACCTAGAATTATAGTATCATTTATCATCATTTTTATGGTAGTTGGATGGAGCCTGGATTTGAGATAAATCATGACTAGTTTTTACAAGGAAAGAAAGTTCCAGAATGGCTATCAGAAGACCTAGTTGGAAATTCTGCTATTTTCCTTATCTTAACAGATAAGGAAATTAAGGTAACTGGTTAGTGAATGAGGCAGCCCTTGGTCTAGGTCCCAGGATTTTCATTTAAAGTAATTGTTACCAGACTCTCTTTTAGGTAAACCTACAGAGCAAATCCTATCTCTTTGGGGGAAAAAGAAAAGAAAAGAAAGGAAAAGAAAACAAAAGGTAAATTAGAGTATTCCCTGCTTCATTTTTCTGCTCCACTCCCTGGTGATTTTTACTTAAGATTTCGTAGCTTCCTTCATGTCCAAGTAATCAAGAAGTCACACCATTCATCTGACTGCTACCTTCTTAATATACAATTAACCAAACGCGAGAGTCAAATGTACCAGTTCAAATACCTTCCCACTGATGAAAACGTTAAAGCATATGCTGCTGATCTTGGACAGACTCTTGCTTTGTGAGTCTGCACAAAAATCAAGACAGGTCCACGCATCGTCTGCTAAGTGGCTGGTACTCTTTGTTCTGATCGTGCCACAGCTTCAACTCCTGCTCCCTGGGTTCTGTGAAAACACTGTCATGGTGTCCATTGTAAAGAGGAGGAAAGTATGACACAGAGATGTGGTCATCTTACAGGTAAACAAGACAAGATTAGGCCTTAGCGGCAGGCAACAGGGATGATAGCTCTGATGTCCAGGTAATGCACGTAGATTGGTTAGAAGAAGATCAATACTATCATGTAAACTTCATCTAGTCATTTAAATCCTTAGATCATCATTTTTTGAAGTTCTAAAGTGATAATTACGCCTGCCCAGTGAACAAGTTTTACCTGTGTAATTCCAGAGCTGTAACACAGTTTTAAGGTTATTATCTTAGAATCAAAGTGGCCAACACATTTCTATGTGTGTGTGGGACCTAGGGATAGACATGGGAGCTAGATCAAGAAGGAGAACTGTCTCCCTTTGGCTACATCTGTTTGCTATTTATACAAGAAACTTACTCAACTCTTTAGAAATCAAATCTTTACTAAGTAATAAGGCCTCAGCTCTAGAATTAACTCTTTCTGAATGTGGTACCTTTTCTCAGGGAAGAATTTGTTTCCCTCCTCCTTTAACAGACTGCAGTCCTCAAATTCCTGAGATAATTTCACTGGCAAAGCCAAGATCCAGGACATCTACAATCGACTCTCTGGACTATGTCTGTGTTTACTCCCACTGGGTAGAATTTTTTATGGGAGTTCGGACAAAGGCCATTTTGTAGCTACTCCCTCTATTCCCTGCCCAGAACTGGCTTTACCGGAATGCACTAATTGCTGCTGAACAAAAGTATGCCTTATGTCCCTCTGTAGCCATTGCCATGCATTGATTCTTTATGGCGTTGGTATCAAAACTGCCAGTGTTTCCTCTCAGAGGGCAGAGCACAGCAGCTCTCTGCACGCCTGGGGAAGTGCTTGTGAAGTGATGGTATGCAAAAAAGCAACAGGCTTCACTTACCTAGCAGCTGGCAGAGACAAGCACCTTGGCCTGGTCCTCAGGGTTCCTTTGGGCACACGTGGCTGTGAGTGACTCAGTGGGGTGCCACTCAAGTGTGGAGAGCTATTCAGCGCTGTTCAAAAGCACGCAATGTACCAGCTCGATGTTGATCTAAGAAGAAATAGTTTCCTACTCAGGCTTTTAAAAAAAGTCACTATGAAGAACAACCGTAGGACAAGAAGGGGACCCAGCCCGCAGATAAAAGTTACTGAAAATATAAAGCTATCACAGCGCTAAAAGTAGGATTGAGCATCATTAGTGTGTAATAACAGCAGACAGTTCTTAAAGATGGGAAAAATAAAAATACAGACCATGGAACCTCCCAGGAAAAGGCTATGATGCTGACCAGCAGTGCGAGGAAGTCTCAGCCCAGAGTCTTTAGATAGAAACAGAGGCTCAGAGAAGACTCCTGGGGCTCACTGCAGGGTGATTAGGTGGGAGACTGCATTTGAAAAGTTAGCTAGTTTAGGCCATTCCTTGCCCTAATCTTAACTTCTGTTAAATAGCAAGAAGCAATAACAGAGTAGGATATTGAGAGTGAAAGCTTCTGATGTAGAAGTTGAGAAGTGCCCCAGAGGCTACTAAACCTAACCAGGGGGACATCCTACACCCAGAAGACACTGCCACTATCAGCCAGAGCATGAGCAAGTAAGATTCAACCTCCACCGTGCCAGGAGGGAATCCCCAGCGCAAAGGAAAGTACAAGGTCCTTAGACATTCCAGAAAAGCAAAAGCCCTGTAAGGAGGAGGGGGAGGATCATTCTTTGAGCAAACAGTGAAAACGGAAACATATTTTACAATAAATATCATTAACAACTTATGATTAGTTACGACAAAGTGAAAAGAGCCAGCTTAAAAAAGCACCACGTGGACATTTTATAAGTTTAAAATCATAAAATTTTCATATAAGGACTAAATAACTAAATGTGAGAAATAATTAAATCAAATAATCACAACAAAAATATTCTGATTCTCTCTCTCTCTCTCTTCTTATGTTTCTTTCTTTCTTTCCTTATTTTTCTTTTTTCTTCTTAGGTGATCCTCCTGCTTCAGCCTCCTGAGTAGCTGGTAGCATGTGTTTGTAAGCCCAGCTAACTCAGCTACCCAGAGGCTCAGTTTTACCAGTTTGAGCTCCTCTGAGAAGGAAATACTGGGACGCTGTTGATTGGACACTGAGGTTTGCTTTTGCAGGATGGAAAGTTCTGTGGCTGAATGATAGTGACGCTACTCAATATGATTATACTTTATGCAATTGAACTGTATAATTAAAGATGCAAACATGAGGGCAGAAAACAATGTTGAGATGAAGTCACTTGAACTCACAGACTGGTCTTGAACTCACTATGTAACCTAGACTGTCCTCATATTCAAAAGATCCTCTTGATTCAGCTTCCCAAATGCTGGCATTACAGATGTGTGCCATCATACCTGGGCATGAGAGAAAATCTTACATGCGTTTTGTTACAGATTTAATTTTAGCAAAATGTATGTAATTTTTCCTACTCACCAGCCCTGGAAAACTGTATGAATTTGAGTCCCTTAGGTCTTCATACAAATAGAATAATATGATGCTTGTCCTTTTGTGACAAGCTTACTTGCTCCACTTGGTATAATGTCCTCAAGTTGGTCCATGATATATCGGGTAACAGAATTTCTTTTTAAGGTTGAATAATATTCCATTGTATGGATATACTACATTTTACCATTTATTTCCCAAGGGGACATTTGGGCTTCTTCCACATTTTGGCTGTTGTGGAGAACGTTGTTAATTCCCTTGAATCTTATGCTATAGAACAAACAGATTAAAGAATCAGAAATACAACATCTGTAGAACCAGAAGCTCCAAATATCAAATTTTGAGAAGGTTTATGGAGAAGTAGAAAGCCTCCATAAACCAATGACCATAAAAGACAGTGAAAAAAATCTTTTAAAAGGACATAATTTTTGGACCTATTCTACCAAGGAATATGTGGCATTAATGTTCTAAGGGCTCAGAGAAAAGGTACAAAGTTTGCACCTCATGTTTGAGCATAATTTAAAAACTGGACCTAAATAGAAGGTAAAAGAGAAGGTCTTGCAAAAACATAGCAAATATCTGTGTGTTATTCTGTATCTCCACCTCCCCATCCAAGAGCACTCTAAAATGATTTTGTAGTAATATAAAAGTTCTGCTTCCAGTAGGACTCGGAAGATGAGAGAGGAACCAGCAGTGTGCAAGACACTGAAACCAGTTGTGGAAGACAGAAAACAGAAAACAGATGAGAGATAAGAACTGACCTCAAGGAGGAGGAAACTATATTCTCATATGGGCTGAGCTAGAAATACTGAAGGAAAACAGAGTATTTTATTCCATAAAACTTCTTGGAAAACCTGAACTAGAAAACATCACGTACTGCAGAAAGCTGAAATGAAGCTGGGCGTGGCAAACAGAGGATCATAGTCCTCACCCGGAACAGATGTTTTTCCTGAGTGGTCTCCCCTGCCCTGCTTGAGGGCTGCAGGGTTGTGATATGAGAAGATTAAGCAGAAACACCGGGCACAATGGGGAAGCAGGATGTAGGGGTACAAAAGAGTTTTGGGTAAAAATCTGCATTGCTTTGTTCTCTCTTCCTCCTCTGCTCACAGAAGGTTTGCCAGCACCTGTGCATCTATGAGATTGGAGGATGCTTCTCCACAGCAAATCCTCCACACAGGAGATGCCCAAAAGTGACAGCTTCTGCTTCACAATCTTGTTCAGGTGCTTAGAGCTTGTCGTCAGCTTCTTTCTATTTTGCTCCAAAACATGGACAGGCAGGAATATCAGATATTTAGAGAGAGAGAGAGAGAGAGAGAGAGAGAGAGAGAAAATAAAAGAGGAAAGACATTATGTAGGGCAGAAAAGAAAACTTCAAATACTATAGAACTGATGTCTCTAAAAGATGAGAGGTGACATTGCATCCCTATTATGAGCATAATTCTCAGAAAAATTAGATTACAGTGAGAAATTAATAAGATCATAGCAAAATAAGTATAAGAGGTAAACTGGGAAATGCACTTGAGGTGATCTTCTAAAGTCTAAAAATAATATGATGTAGAAATGGAAAGTAGGAGAGAAATGATGTGAACATAAAGTGATCCATTTGAGAGAAAAAAATATTTCTTGAAGGAGAGAAAGTAATTGTGCAAGAAAATTTGCTAGAACTGAAGGCCATAATCATTCAGAAAATAAAAGATAAAAAGTATGTAGAACAAGGAAATAAATTTTGATGAACAAATTAAAAGCAATAATCCATGGTGTGTCTATCTTTATGAAATATCAGAACAACAGGGATTAAGAAAAAAACTCTCAAAAGTTGGATAATGAAAAACAGGACACATAAAAAAAGATTAAGAATTAAAGTGGTTCGTATAACCCTAAAAAGTAGATGATAAATTCTGAAGGGAAATTATTTTCAGCCTAGAATTTAATAGTGTTGTTGGATCATTGAACAGAACTGTCTGCCATCTCACTGTATGAATGTTCACTTTGTATGCTTTAATTTTGTAATTTGGACAATTGTTTCTAAGATGACAGTATGTCATCTATTAACTAGTGATTTCTTACTGTATATTTTTTTCTTGAAATTCTGTATTACTTGTACCCTTTTACTGCTTTGTTTTGTTTTGTTTTGTTTCCTCTTTAAATAAAAAAATTTAAAAAAAGAATTTAATAGTGAAAACAAACTGCTATTTAAATTGGAGCAAAGAATACTAGCGTTTTTAGATACGTGGGACTCCCACAGTCTACTGCCCATGAGAATATACAAAGTAAATTCTACAAATTCATTCCACTAACATGGGAAAGCAAACCAAAAATGAAGAAGACAAAGGACCCATGGAATAAAATATTTAGGAATATTAAATATTAAGGATAAAATATCCTTAATAAAGGATATTGACCCATGGAATAAAATATTAAGGAATAAGTGACAAATGAAAGTCTCTGGATGCTGGCTGAATTGAGACTTAAGGAAATGAACATTCACCTTGAAAGCTCAGTGCGACCCAGAATTGATGTCTGTCTGGTGCACTGAGCATTTGTAACATACGGTCAACAGGTGCACACCAGATATGACAGAAAATGCAAAAGATAGTTTTATAGGGAGATTATGCAAGAAAAAATTAAGCAAATGTTAGTTACATTTTATTAAAGACACTTACTACCTGGCTTTGCAGGAAACTGTATTTGATTAATAATAATAATGTAAATATTGACTGGGTAATTAATGATGTAATACTTTTTTGTAATAAAATGTTACTGTGAGAATTGCTGGAGAGGAAGGGATGCTAATGATCTACAGTGCAGAGTGGTCATCTCTGATCGCAGGAAGTCAATACATAGCACCAGAAATTAGTAAACAGCACCTAGAAGCAGGAGTTAAAAAGCAGTGAGTTATGCGAAAGTTCTTATTAGCTATAAATCTTTTAGTAGAATTAATTTTGAACTTTAGCATATAAAAGAATAATTAAATGTAAGAATATCTAATGGTGTATTTCACCGTATTATATATTATTATATCCAATGAAAGTTAAAAACATGATATGCACGCTAATAAGACATTTAAAGTGCCTAATCTTATTAAAAACCTTTAATAAAGATGGGAATTGGCAAATACTTCCTCTAGATGATAAAACATGACAGTGCTGCCCAAAAGCAGACTTCATACCTAATAGATTCTGGACTGCCTCTTTCCATACTGTGGCCCATGTAGTGAATGGGCTGTTCAAACTGCACTGGTTTCACTGGTCACTTTGGGACTCACAGGTCAATACACACAGCTGTCCTATGGGGCTGGTTTTAGTGTGCTGGTAAGTAAACTCCACTGTAAAGAATTACTATAAAAAACAACAAGCAAAGACCAGGAACCCAGGGGAAAAACAGGTGAAGGACATGAATAATCTAGAAAATAAAATTCTTAAATACATCAAATGTTTAATTAAAAAAGAATGATAAATAAAACTACCTATCATGTTACCCAAATCCCCCAAATTTGATAACACAATGTTGGTCAAAAGTGGGCAAACAGGTATTTCATTCAATTATAATAATATCAATAGATTTGGAGGAGGTAGAAGATATGGGATGGGTGAGT